TACAATCACGCCCCCGAATGTTCTGCACGTGATTTCAATATCGATAACATTACATGATGCGTCACGCAAACTAAACGCTGGGAGGGCGTTACAGTACAATATCCCTCGGTATTGATAGCAAACAAAGACCCAGCCATCATGTACATATATTTTCTGATTCATAAGTTAAAGGTTTTTCAAATTTCGAACGCCTGCCACGCAGGCTAAAAATGACACGACATGTAAACAATCGAAAGCATTTTTGGAAACAATACACAACTGGTCAGCGGGCTTTCCTTTTGCACATGCTCTTTGGTGTTGTCCTTTTGGCGTCCATTTTGAAAGTACTGCAACGGTTGCGAACATGCCAGTTTCTTTGGGGATCAGGAGTCTTGCATTATACTTCTCGACAGCATCAAAGGACATTCAAGGTGTTGTTACTAATTATTTTCGAACTATGAGCCGTCGTTGATCCATCACTTCGCTCTTGAAGTTCGTCGTGAAGAATCGGAGACAGAAGCCTCGTGAGGCGCAACGATTTTCAAGATGAACTGCACAAATATAACAAACGCTCTCCAAGAATCAAGACTTTGCTGGAAAAAGCCGATAGTAAGACCAGGTAAGCCGCCCTGATTCGCTCTCTTTCTACCAAATGCAAAAGACTGAGCTATTTTAACCACGTTTGATGAAACAGAATTCAGGTTACTCAAGTCCACCTTGTCGGAAGGCTTTGAAGAACGGGTCATTAGATGTTTTTAATTTTATTATCTAATGATAAGGAAATAAGTGACCCTGTATTCTGTAGTTAAGCCAGTGGAGGAGTTAAAAAGCACTTCTTCCATCCCCTCACTGTCCCCTATTTAAAACAGGGAGAATGATAAACATATCTAATGAAAAAACCTTAAAGCCATTTCAACTAAAGAAGATGGTAAGGATGGTGTGGTCTGGTTATACATTTACACTGTAGATTTCAGTACTTGTTCTGTTTTAAGTAAGGTTTACCTTACCAATGTATTATTTCTCTTGTCTGATAAAAAAAGTGCAAAATATATGCTTTAAAAATAGAAATTTAAAACCCTTTTAACCCTAAGATCAAAATTTGAATGCTCATTTGTTGCCCCTATTCATTTCCTACAGAAGTAGTGGGAAGAAGTTGATAAAATATCAAGCAGATTGTGTGATCATGTCCATAATTCTCATGAACACTCTGTTTTACAAAGCATTGATATTTCAAGGAGAAATTTGATGCTGATCACTCTCAAGGCTTAAAGGGTTGAAGGAATAATGTGAATTATAATAATAAAGTTATGCATAAAATTAGGAAATAGAATTTTAGGTTGCAGAATTCTGCTTCAATAATGTGAATTATAATAATAAACATGAGAGGACACAGAGGCTTTTTACTGGAAGTACCATCCCACACAGGGATGTTTTCTCCAAGGGCAGCTAATCCGACTTAATCCCATTTAATATGTCGCGCTCCTCGAAAGTGCGAAAATTTTCTTGTCGTGTATTAGATTTCAGATACATTTTCTTAATCTTCATTTTGCGCCAGAATGAATTAGTTTGCGCGCAAGGGGCGCCGAAAAAAATCACAAGGTTTGTCCTACTTCGAGTCCACCTGTGATTCTTTAGGTAGAGCTAACAAACATAGGCTGCACTTTAGGTGGCACACCCATGGGTGCAGTGTAACCAAGTGATTCTTTAGGTAGAGGCAACAAACATAGGCTGCACTTTAGGTGGCACACCCATGGGTGCAGTGTAACCCAGTGATTCTTTAGGTAGAGCTAACAAACATAGGCTGCACTTTAGGTGGCACACCCATGGGTGCAGTGTAACCAAGTGATTCTTTAGGTAGAGCTAACAAACATAGGCTGCACTTTAGGTGGCACACCCATGGGTGCAGTGTAACCAAGTGATTCTTTAGGTAGAGCTAACAAACATAGGCTGCATTTTAGGTGGCACACCCATGGGTGCAGTGTAACCAAGTGATTCTTTAGGTAGAGCTAACAAACATAGGCTGCACTTTAGGTGGCACACCCATGGGTGCAGTGTAACCAAGTGATTCTTTAGGTAGAGCTAACAAACATAGGCTGCACTTTAGGTGGCACACCCATGGGTGCAGTGTAACCCAGTGATTCTTTAGGCAGAGCTTACAAACATAGACTATACAGGTGTACATCAGATAGTAACAAGTTTTCCAGTTAAAACTTTGTCATAAAGTGCTACACCATGGCACTTAGACTATTTCATTATCGCGCTTTGTTTTGACGCACAATTGATAGTCAGGAGAAGTCGTATTGTCTAAAACCATAGCAAAAGACAAATTTACACACATCACAGCGTTAAGGTAAGGTAATACACGGTATTTCCTTCAGGTACATGTACATTTTCTGTTAGGTTATAAGCGATTAAATCGCATGCAGCGACAAACAAAACTTGAAGCCGTCAGATATTCTAGAACCATGTTATTTACAGTGCTGTGCATTATTATTGCTTAACTAGCTAACTACGGCGCTGATGGAAATAAGTTTCCGCCGCTTTAAATTTTGAAACAATTCACTGGTATACTACTGTATAGTCATAACTGGAGCGGAAAGTTAGCAAGCGAGCAGGACGATTCTGCTGTGGTTTCTGTAATGTAGAAGATATTACGGCAATGAAGTTCCCGAGGTCCGTTCTGGAAATTACAACTACATGTAGTATGAAATGTATTCTGCGTGCAGGCGTCTCCTTTTCCAGGTTAGGTTAAATAAACCGTACCAAAGGTTTGTTTGACAAAGCTCCAGCGAGACGGTTTCTTGGTGATTTTATTAATTTTTCTGATCCATTTTTTTTTCAGCTCTATTTTCCCGGCTTTTGCGATACAAACTGAATTCATTTTTAGTTGTGATGGCATTACACTGCTTAATCATGAAGGCATTAGAAGAAACTGAATATATTGCGCAGCGATTTCGCAAAAATCGCTGCAGGAATTAAAAAATATTTTCTTCAAAAAAGCGTTTTCATGCTTCTTTCTCTAGTCAATTATCTCGTTTGTCTCGTTTTCTAAAGGTCCTTGAGAACAGAATAAGACAATATTTTATTACCTACAACCTAAAAACCTGATTTTTGACCAGATCGAAACAAAACTGACCTCTGAAATGGAAGAAGAAAATCCTTTTTAAATATTTTTGCCGGCTTGGCCGCCCGATGCGATCGTGTCTGGTTTGCTTTCATATGATGACATTTTCCTGACAGAAGGGTGTCGGGAAAAACACCCGCGCTGATCATACGTGACCAAATCCGCCGCGCCTAAGCTAATTAAGAAAAGTCTCCTCGAAAGCTCCATACAATTCCTTATAACAAAATTATAAGGAATTGTATGGAGCTCTCAAATACTTACAGTGCAAGCCCTGTGTGTCTTCTCATGTTATGCATAAAATTAGGAAATAGAATTTTAGGTTGCAGAATTCTGCAGGTGTGATTGAGGTAAGAGGGTCTGTCAGTCAATTTGCTCCCACAATTACTCAGAACTGTGTGTAAATAAACTTGTTGCTCCAAGTCAACCAGTTTTAATTTAATAACATTTCTCCTATGGCAGAAATAGAAAGGCGGGCATCCTTTGGGTAGTGAACAAGGTTCTGCGGCATTGATCGGAGTGCTAAGAGGACCTTGGGAGGAATTTATCACTATTGTAGAGGTAGGTGTTTTGGGAATACAATGTTTTTCCTGATATTGTGATTCAAAATACCACAGGAGTACTACAAACTCAACTGTACATTGAACCCTAAATGCTTGGGAAGCCCAGATACAAGTGGAAGTCAGACAAAATTGAGATGGAATTTAGCTTTTTTGTTATGAAGGTATCCCTTGGGGGCCATTCCCGTCACCAGACTACACCAAATCTCACAGAATAATAATGGCTACATTATAATACTTAATAAATTTTGACTTACAGCTGCAAAATTTCTTGACTGGTGAGAAATAGATGTACTAAAATAATCTTCTTGTATCAGGACATGCACACTGTAATTACCTCCTCAATGATGTGTGAATGTATTAGACATAATTATGCTGTCATTCTTTTTCCCATAACATAAAGGAAGCATAATTCAACAAACTATAATTTATACATACATTTATACATGCATACCTGAAAACTGGAAAGAAGTAATTAAACCAACATTTTTTTTACAATAGTATTGTTGTGACCATACTGACTTTTTATGTGTATGCAGTAACTGTTTGTTGTGTTTTGATTATTGTTTTTATCATTTCTAAAATTACAACATTTGTTTTTATTGCAGAGGGATGCAGATGTTGACAGGAAAATTCAGGATTTTGTTGTGACAAAGGGAGGCATTATTTGTCAGTTTTCTCAGAAGAAGATTGATGCAGTGATAATATTGCTTGGGTGTTTTTATGTATTTAATGTATCATACACCCAATGCAAAGCCATCTTGACTTTTCTAGATCAGGCATTGCTTGAAAGTGGACTGGGGTAGACACTTGTCAATGTTTCCTCCCTTTTTTAATGACTTGGCAAATACCTCAGTTCTTGCTGAATGTTAATTCAGGACAACCTCGCAAGGTGTAGCCAAATTGTCAAAATTTTTTTTTCATGGAAGTTTTCTTTCACTCTTATAGACCAAGATTTGGCAAGATTTTTTAAACATAATATCTGTGGAGTAAAATATAGTTTAAAACATTTGCCAAGTCATTAAGGGCTGGGCTGGTTTAGTAGTAAGATACAGAGTCGGAACTGTAATCAAAAGCATAGAGTGTTGATCTAGTGAAAACTATAAAGCATGGGAACAAGAATTTTGACTGGTAAGTGGTTTATCCTTCGACGATTACACCACTGCTTAATCTGGTTTTCTACATCATAAGCAGAATCTGAAGAGTAGAAAGTTGTGATGACTCCAATTCCATCAAGCTTCTAGTTATCACTTCCCTTGCAACTCTGATTTTTGATTTTCACTAGGTGATGAGTGCTCTGACTATGACCCTGACTTTGTCACGAGTAAAAACCACCCTTC